CCCCTTAGGATGTAAATCTGTGTGAAAGAACCATCATTGCAACCAAGCTGGGGAGTGAGGGTAAGCTTTTGATGTCCACCCCCTCAATACATAGTGCCTGGGGAGAATACTTTCCACTAGTTCTGGAATGTTCAACCTGAACCTTGTTTGTCTCCCTGGGGAGAGGGGATAGATCATAATTTAGTTATTCATCACATGTGTTAGGTCTGTGGGATAGGCTGGTGCCATGGGTAAGATGCAAAGAATTGCACTGAAATTAGACTGGAAAATATAGTTTATTTAGAAAGTAGATTGGGGAGAAAGAGAAAAGGATATCCACCTTCCTCAGATTAGGGAGGGGGCCAAGGCGTAAAGAAAAGCACAACCCAGACAGAGCTCAATGAAATCATGACCAGGCCAGAGTTTAACAAAAACATAGCTGTGGCTGCTTGAGGTTTATTTTAAGGCTTTCCTTTTGTGTGCATAGGTTGTTAAGATGATTGGGTGGTGGTCTGTTTTACATTATCAGAAGGGAGCAGGTAGCACAGGAACTGTTGCCATGGTGATGGGATCTATCTGTGTGTCACATAGGTCATGAAGGGCTGATCACAATAGATTAGGTTAGTCTAGTTGTTTATAGCTGGAAGACAAATACTTGGAATAGCAAAATAATCAGTACCTAGGGAGTTACAAAACAATATTAGTAGTTACTTCTGGGAAACTGGTTCTTTCCTTAGCTAATTATTAGAGGGATAAGTGATTTAATGATTAAAGAGTACTAATTTAAAAAATTGGCAAAGTTAAGCAATGTTAAAATGCTATCTGGCTATATCAACTCCATTTTGGTCTTTTGTCCTTTCAATACAGTTATGAGAAAATGGACAAATGCTGTTAAGTGTAATAACCCTGGGTCTCAAATACTGAAAAGGGGGACTATTAATTTATGTGGCAATGCAGAACACCTATGGACAAAAGGTCTGTTGGACCTTATAGGGCATAGTATTCCAGGCAAGGGAGGCCTCCCCAAAGTGTCACAGTGTTGTCACAGGACAGGAATGTTGCTTGTGTTTTTATTCCTCTCAAACATCTATTCTATAACCCTTAGCCTAAGACCTTTCTTTCAGTAAGTTTTTCTTTCTGGCCAGGAGCAATCATAGGTGTTACCATTACTGTAACCATTTTGCTATTCAGAGTCTGTGCTCTTTGTTACATATGCCATGTTATGCTCATGTTTTCACCTCAGGGAACTTACAGAAGATCAATGTTACTTGAAGATTATAAGAATGGAAAAAAAGTCAATATGGGGATAGAATGTGAGGTAATTGTCTGAGCATTGACTCTTTTCCCCTACGTCCTCTCTCAGATTTGGTGTTTCATGGTACATAATTTCTTTGGTGACCAGTGGCAAAGTGTATTTTAAAGGCTAAAATTCTCCCTGTCTTCTCTTTTTCCTTGTGGAACCTGTAGTGATTTCCAATCTTCGATTCCTTAAGAAGCAAAAAACATTCCACATTGCTGAACATTGTTTTTTACACTCTTCCTGACCCTCTCCAACAAAGCTGGAAACTTCTTGACTCAGGTCAAGATGATGATGTTTGGTTGTGTTTTAAATTGGGGTCAAAGAGACATCACACTGAAATGACAATTAGAGGCATATTTTATGGGATGGTTCATAGGCACTAATATACATTGAGATTATTTTTGTGATTGAGCTTGTAGTCTGACTTTCCATACAAGCTGTAATCATGACGTAGAGTTAAAATTTGTCAAATGACTTCCTTTCTCCATCTTGTCTCCTCCCCCTATACACATCCAAGGAAGACATGAAGTAAGATGTAAGCTTCCAAGACTGTGACAGGGATCTCAAAGGGTTTAGGAGAATTTCTTAAGTTAGAAAAAGTAGGGGACTAATTTTCTAGTTCACACTGAATTTCTCAGCCCTACCTCACCCCACTACTCTACCCCTTCTCACAGCTTGGAAGCTGCAGACTTAAGGTGGGGTTGTGGTTAAAATAACTTTTAAAAAGCAACAAAGGTAGATTAAAGGGAAGATACGCTGTGATGGGCACAGCAGTGAGGGTGTCTGCTGTCTGCTGAACTAGCTTTTCAACAGAAAGAAGCTCAAGGCTATGAATGTCATCAGCCCTGACCCAACCCAAGGAAGGGAGGAAAGTTTTGTGCACTTGAATGAAGTGGTAGAATGCAATGTGATTTTGAATGGATTCCCTCTGGCAAGTCGATCTGGTATGCAGGGCCAGTGGTTTCCTCTTCAGTGGGGAGCTGCAAGGCCTTTGGACACAGGAAATCATGCAGGGCAGAAACTGGCTTTAGTGTCTCTGAAAGGCGCAGGGAGCAGTCAGAAGGGCGTCCCCAAGATGGTGCTGCCTCCCAAAACAACAAAGGCCCTAAGCTCCGGCTTCTCCCGTGCGCACGAAACTTAAACCTGTGCTCAAACAACCTCTCCCTATAGGAATACTACCTCATGGTCTCCTCCAGTAAGACCCAAACACGGCACTGGTCAGCCCCTGCAAGGTCCATAAATATACCCCCTCCCCCTGCATAACGCCCTCTTGCTTTCTCTCTCTGTCCCCGCCACTCTCTTGCTGGCTCGCTCTCTCTCTCTCTCCTTCCCTCTTTCTCTCTTTCTCTCACACTCTCTTGCCCTCTCTCTTTCCTCCTCTCTCTCTCTCTCTTTCTCCCTTTCTCTCTCTCACTTTTCCTCAGTTATAGTCCCTTCCTATAACTGCCCCTTTAATAAATCTCTTGGTCTTAGCCAGGTGTGGAGTCATCACTGGCGCCGAAATCCTTTCAGTCTCCAGCAGAGAAATCTCCTTGGTAAGATCCTGTGAGAAGACTGTTCAGGGCCTGCCTTCCCACAGCCTCTCTGGCCTGAGAGGTGGGGAGGTGGGGGAGGGAGAACCCTGGAATGGAGCTGCCTTGGCCGCATGCTCTCCCTCACTCTCTCCTTAGAAAAAAATCCATCTTGGACATTCTGGGCCTGCTGCAGTGCCAGAAATTTTTTTCAGCTTTAGTATAGATGATAGTATAGTATTCAACTGTTACAGGTGTCTGAACAATTTGAGATCACAGACAGCTTTCACCCTACACCTATGACTGCAAGAAACACCCTGGTCCATGGATTCTTAATCTGATGGTTTTATTGGGAGACGATGAACTACTTCTGTGCTTAAAACTGTACTGGACTAGCATTCTTCATGATGTCTCTTTGAAGGCTTCCCAGGGAATTGCAAACCTTCCACAGACTCTCGAGTTCCCAAGTAGTTCCATCAGACAGACTCTGCCAGTGTCCCTTTTGCCTAGGTAGGGTGCTTCCTGCTTTGCCCCTTTCCTTGATTCCTCTCCAAATGTATTCTCATGCACTCTCTTTCCTCTCATTGGCAATACTCTGACAATCATGTAACCTTAATAGGTTAACTGCCCAATGCACATAGCAAGTCAATACACTGAGACACCAGGTTGCAGCAGAGAAATAATTTAATTGTAGGATTGCCAAAGGAGGAGGTGGGTGGAAACCTCAAATTCCTCTTCCTGAGGAGTCTGGAGCTAGAATTGTTAAGAGTTTTGGAGGAGGCCAAAGTGTGGAGACTGCCAACACATTGAAAAGTGCAGGGCAAAGCCATGGGACAGGGAGATGAAGTTGTATTCTCATGTTGATCCCATTCCTCTGTGGAGGTGGCGGGGAGGTCTTCAAGTTGGTTGCTGGAATTTGGGGTTTGGAAAATATCTTAAGTGATTCTTAAACAAAAACCTTATGATTCCAACATCAGAGATACTGTCTATAGGACAAATGAAGACGCAGATCAATGCCTAAACAATCTTAAAAGCCTAATGTTAGAAATCCTATCGATAGGAAGCAATAGGGATTCAAACCATCAGTACCTAGAGATAAGGGAGAGGGGCAATGTGAAACCTGAGCAATGCTTAATTGCAACCAGATTCCTGTCCAGAGCCTAGTGTGCAATTTTTGTCAACCCTATGGGGATGGCAACACTCCTTGAGCATCCTGTCCTTACCAATGTAAGAAACTGACTGAGCGTGTCTTTTTATGACCCAGACTTGTTACACTCTATCACTTCTGCTGCAATCTGTTGTCTCCACGGGCCAGCCATGAGTCAATGTGGTGGGGCATGATTACAGGGGAGGGTCATTGGGAGCCATCATGGAGGCTGGCTACCACACTACTGCCACATCTTAGAGTATTGCCTTCGCTTCCTAGCTGACATTCCCGTTTCTGTCTCCCTGATGTCAACACAGCAGCCAGCAACCCTCTTACATGTAGCAACATATAGTGTTGCTCTTCTCCTGAAGCCCCTGTAACATCTTCCTCTAGACAAGGAAGAGCCAGTCTATATCATGGCTCCAAGGCCTTACATTGTCTGGTCCCCACTATGCTTCTGATTCATCTTCCACCATTCTCTCCTCACTCACGCTACTTCAGCAAAAATAATATGCCTCAAATGCACATAGCAGTCTTCTGCACCAGGGTCCTTGCACTGGCTCTTTCTTCTGTTTGCAGGATTTTCCCTGCAAATAACCTGTGGCAGGTTCATTCAGACCTCTCATCAAGCATCAGCTGCTCAGAGGACTTTCCTGACCATCGCACATAAAATGAAACAGCACATCTACCATTTTCAGCTTTATAGCACTTAACTCTTATTGCCTGTTTCTCTCTACTAGGATGTAAGCGCCACAAGAGCAAGAGATTTGATTTGTACTTGTTGAAGTCTCAAGATCTAGAATAGTGCCTGCTACATGGGAGGCACTCAGTAAATATTTAATGCCCGTAAACAGGTGAGTCAGTAAAAGTGACTGCTAAAATAGCCACTAGTGCAAAATAGCCCTCTTAACACTCAGTTATGCATGAGAGAGAAGAGAAAAAAAGGAAGAGGAAATGGGAACATGAGTAGCTAGATTTCAGAACGCCTAGCTATTAGTAAGTAATAAACAAGGGGAGTATGGGGACGAGTCAGGAAGAGAACTACATGACATGAGGTAGACCATTTGGATTTATAAGCCCATGAAATCCACAGGAGAAACAAGTTTATTTGAAGAAAAAAACGATGCGCAATTGCACAAACTCAGAGAAAAAAAGAACGGTTTATTCATGAGTTAAAAGAAACACACACGCATACTATAGTAAAAAATATTAAAAGACTGAGAAGATGTATGGACAACCATGAAACTATGGTGAAAGCTTACTAGGGCACGCCTTCCTCATGGGATGAATGTTTCCGGGCAGCACTTGATGGGTGGACAGGATCTCCCGGACCTTTTCCAGGCACATCTTGTCTGCCACTATCCCTGCTTCAAACTCGCGGCGTTTCTCTTCCTTCTCTGCCTCTCGGGCCTGCTCCTGGTAGGCAATTTGCATCTGAAGTTGCTTCCTATACTCCTGGGCTAAAACCTGGCGTCTAAAGTATTAGAAATGTCAAAGCATAGAATTATAAAAGTGAGCATTTGAACTTACTTTAGCATTACGGTTAAAATAGAATTTTTGAAGCCAAATTAGAATTCCTATTTTAATCAGGGTGAGTGGGGAAGAAACAGATTAAAAACAATATTGAGATTCTTACACAATAATATTATATTGCCAATATAATACTAGAATAAATACTGATTTTGGAGAGGGAATGCTGCTTCTTTCCCATTCCAAGTGTATACTGCCATGTGGAGGGAATCCTTGGGCTGTCTCCATCCATTCCCCCACTCTCCTCCAAGGAAAAAGTGGCGTATATATTAGTGACACCGAAGAGAATGAACAAGGTGCTCAGTTTAGCCTCTCACTTTACCTGTTGAAGGTCAGTCTCCCAGCTTCCTGCTCTGCTCTAGATCAAAGGGCTGTGACCTCGCACAAGATGCTTGCAGTGGTCTGGCCCTGCTGGGGACTAGGTGAATAAGCTAGCCTTCCCTATCATTCTGCTCGTGTGAACTCAACAATTTCCTGCATACCTAAGCCACATATTTAATGAATGACACAGAGTGTTGATTTATAGTGAGATTTCTTACTGTGATTTAAAAAACACATAAAATTTACATCTTAACCATTTTAAGGATACAGTTCAGTAACTAAGTCTCTTCATATTGTTGTGAAAGAGACTGCCAGAACTGTTGTATCTTACAAATCTGAAACTCTACATCCATTAAACAACAACTCCCCTCTTTACACCCCCTATCCCCGGTAGCCACCATTCTACTTTATGTTTCTACAAACTTGACTACTTTAGATATCTTATAAAAGTAGAACCAGGCCTAGCATGGTGGCTCACACGTGTAACCCTAGTGCTTTGGGAGGCTAAGGTGGGAGCATCACTTGAGACCAGGAGTTCAAAACCATCCTGGGCAACACAGAGAGTTCCTGTCTCTACAAAAAATAAAAATAAAAATAGATGGACATAGTGGTACATGCCTGTAGTCTCAGCTCCCAGCTACTTGGGAGACGGGAGCAGGAGGATCACTTGAGCCCAGGAGTTTGAGGCTGCAGTGAGTCATGATCGTGCCACTGCATTCTAGGGTGGGTGACAAAGTAAGATCCTGTCTCAAAAATAATGGTAATAATATAAAATAATAAAAGCAGAATTATACTGACTTATTCCACTTAGCCTAATGTCTTTGAGGTGCATCCATATTAGCATGTGACAGGATATGCGTTCTTTTTAAGTTGAATCATATTCCATTGTACTACATTTTGTTTATCCATTCATTTGCTGATAGACATTTGGGTTGCTTCTACCTTCTGGACGTTGTAAATAATGCTATAAACATCGGTGTACAAATAACTCTTCAAGGCCTTGCTTTTAACTTTTTGGATACACACCCAGAAGTGGGATTGCTGGATCACACAGTAGTTCTATTTTTAATTTTTTGGAGAAACCTCCATACTATTTTCCATAGCTGTTGTGCTATTTTACAATACATAAGCCACATTTTTTAAATTTGTGGGTTTAATGCTTAGAAATACAAGCCATATTTTAAATATCAACTGTGGTATAATAAGTATTCATTTGGTCTTTGTACCTAGGTCCTAGCACAGAGCTCCTAAAACCCTGGGTATTTCCAGATAGGAATATCTTCTGTTATTCATAAGAACACTTGAGCTTATGCTAATGAGAGGACTTAGGGTGGTGCCCGCCCCCAGGCAGCCTCCGGAAGGAGCTGATCATTAGAAAGATGAAGTGGTGAGAAGGTTGGAATTTTTCACCCCACTCACTGACAAATGGGAAGGGGAAAGTAATGACTGAGCTCTATAAACACTCTGGAACCATGACGTTCTGAGAGTTTTCAGGATGCTTAACCAATCGAGGTGCTGGGAGGCAGGTGTGCCAGAAGAGGGCATGGAGATCCCTACGCTTTTTTCCATTTGGCTGTCACTGAGTTGTGTCCTTTATGATAAACAGGTAAACATGAGTAAAATGTGTTCCTGAATTCTGTTAGCAGTTCTAGCAAACTACTGAATGTGAGGAGTAGGATGTGGGAACCACTGATTCATAGCTGATTGGTCAGAAGGTGGCCTAGGACTGGCATCTGGTGTCCAAAGTGGGAGGCAGTCTTGTGGGACTAAGCCCTCAACCTGTGGGATCCATACTAACTCTGGGTAGTTAGTATCCAAATTGAACTGAATTGTTAAGCACCCAGTTAGTGTATGAAAAATCAGAGAACTGGTTGTTGGTGTCAGAAAAACATACTATCAACTTTTATCAAAGTTAAAGATATTGGTTTGGATATTCCTCTGTGGCAGATTCTATTTTCCAAAGATGGCTGCAGTACTATCTCCCTTCTCATATGCTCTTTGGCAACGTCAGTCTCTACTCTCTATCAAGAGGTGGAGCTTCTTTCTCTGTCTAGGTGGACTATGTGGCTGCTTTTATGATCAACAGAATATGTGTAGCCCTTAACTGACCTGGCAGCTTCTTCTTCCTCTCATAGAATACTTGCTATTTGAAATTCAACCTCTCAGAACAAGCTACAATCCTGGGAGAAGTCCAAACCACATGAACAGCCTACCTGTGGGTGTTCCACTACATGACAACTTTTTTTTTTTGAGTTGGAGTCTTACTCCGTCACCTAGGCTGGAATGCAGTGGCACACTCACAGCCACCCCAGCGTCAACCTGCTGGGCTCCGGTGATCCTTCTGCCTCAGCCTTCCAAGTAGGCAGAACTACAGGTGCACGCTACCACGCCCAGCTAATTTTTGATTTATTGTAGAGATGAGGTCTCACACAGTTGCCCAGGCTGTTCTCAAACCCAGGGGCTCAGGCAATCCACTCATCTTGGCCTCCCAAAGTGCTGGGTTTACAGGCTGAGCCACCAAGCCCAGCTGACAACTATAACTACTAGTGGATAACCCAACTACAGTCAGCATACAATGCCAGCTATATGAGTAGGTATCTTATGTGATCACTCCAGTTGAGCCTTCAAGTAAATACAGCCTCAGTCAGGTGCTCTGGCTTCAACCACATGAGATACTCCAAGCAGGAACCACCTAGCTAAACCTTGCTAACCCACAGAATCATAAAAGATAATTACACATCGCTTTAAGTCACAAATTTCTGGGTGCTCTCTAATGGAGCAGTAAGTAACTGTAATATCTCTGCCACCATTTTCCCCTGTCTCTCAGTTAATTTAGAAGCTCAGCAAGGAATAGAAGTGATATTCATTGAGTTCCCTCAAATGTCTAACAGTAGACTTCAGAAATAAGAAGGAAAGGCCTCCAGAGCAAAGGCAGTAGGAAGGAGTCAGTAGCGGAGGCCAGATGTTGTTGTCAGAGACCCCAAACTGACAGTAGGCTCAGGCATGTTAACCATACGCTTTCTAGAAAGAAAAGATCTTATTTCTAGGTACCAAGTGTGACTGAGGCAAGAACGGGCCCCTGGAGCAAAAGGGTGAGTCAGAGTAATTAGAGCAGCCAGGCCCTCTTCCTTCACTATACTGACCACCTGAATTAGATGTCACGGCCATCAATGAGAAGGGAAATCAATGGGGAGAGACTGTCAGGAGGCAGCTTCCTGTTTCCTCTACCCAAGCCTAGTGATCAGAACACTAAATAATCCCAGCACAGAGGCTTGTCAGAGGAGAGCAGTGGTATTTGCCAGCACAACCAGAGCATTTGGTTTTCTAGCTCAGTGAGGTTAGAATAATCCTTCTGGGAACAGTTGCATGGGATCCTGTTTCCATCAGCCAATTCTGCTAATCCTCCATTTCAGGATTTATGTCATGGGGGGGATTCTTGTCATTTCATTTCATTGTGATTTAGGGTTGGCATCTATATTTTGTTTCGAAATTATTTTATTTGTAAGATGTTCATCCAGCTAGGTAATGATTCTGTGTAATCAGAATATATACAATGGAAATAGAATTTAATGTTACCAGGATGGTTGGTGCCTATTTTTACATGAAATTTTGTAAATTGCTTTGAGCGTCTAAAGGACAGGATAATACTATTGCAACATAATGTCAAAGATGCATGAATTATGGTACACTATCCTCTATGTTGAAAATCTGTTTTTTAGGCAGTAAATAATAAAAAAAAACAAAATCATACCTTGCAAAATTCTCCTTCTCTTCACAACTAAGTTCTTTAAGACCTTCATTTATACGCTCCTGTTCCTTAGCACATTCTTCCTGTTCCTTAGCTTTATGTTGCACTAACAAAAGCAAAAGTCATCATATGTCAAATGATCTTCGGACAAGTTTTGCCAACATCTTTCTGGGTACCAAAGCCATATTGTTTTTAGAAAGGTAGAACTTAAAATCACTGGGCTAGATCTTAGATCAGTGAGGCAGAAATAGTTATCACCATTGAGGAGTGAATAGGGTTTACATTGCACACATGTTGTGACCTACACATAGTTTCTCTTAATTATTTTTCATTGAAAATCTAAGATTAGCCTTTTTATACCATATTATCAATCTTAAAACACTTCTCACTTTTCTCTTCTTGAGGATAAATATTGCCATTCATATTAATAAAAGTTTATTATAAAATAAATATTTTAAGAGCATATAAGCTAATAAATTAATTTTTAAAATTTAAGCATCCCAATAGAAAAAAGTTAAAGAAACAGAATTCACAAAAAAAAAAATACAACAACAAAAAAATACAACTGGCCAATATACATCTGAAATGTACATATCTTTGGTCTCCAAATCTATTTCAGAAATGTATCTTAACAACAACAACAACAAAAAACAGAGAGAATAACCGAGAATGCTAAAGTAACAGTAAAAAGATTAGAAACAATCTGAAAATGTATTAGTTATGTTTAGGCAAAATAAATGATGGTATATTTCTTTTTTTTTTTTTTGAGTCAGAGTCTCACTCTGTCACCTAGGCTGGAGTGCAATGGCATGCTCATGGCCACCCCAGCACTGACCTGCTGGGCTCAGGCCATCTTTTCGCCTCAGTCTTTCAAGTAGCTGGAACTACAGGTGCGTGCAACCACGCCTGGCTAATTTTTGATATATTGTAGAGATGAGGTCTCACCAAGTTGCCCAGGCTGGTCTCGAACCCCTGGTCTCAGGCAATCCTCTTGCATCAGTCTCCCAAAGTTCTGGGATTGCAGGCTTGAGCCACCACACGTAGCCAATGGTATATTTTTATAACTAATTTTTAGGTAGTCATTAAAAACCTTATAATGGATTAACAATGACAAAAAAATAAATTTAAAATATAGACGAGTAAACAGTATATACAACATGATCCTCATTTGTGAGGGAAAATTATATGTATACAGTAAAAACACTGAAAGGAAATTTACAAAGTTGTGAATAGTAGCTATTCCAGGGGGTGGAACTATGGTTGATTTTGTTTCCTTGTTTATAAATGGTCTCAAATACTTACCTTTTTTATGTTTTCTCAATATTTCTAAAACTTCCATCACTGATGAATGTAATAGTCTTTCCAGCTTATATACTTTCTTCTTAATTTCTAAAAATTCCATCTAATATTGGCTAAACAGTTTTCTACTGCTATTATAATTCCTGGGCTGGAGAATTAAACAATGGAACCAGATGAGTTTTCTCCTGCAAAGACCACTAGTGTGAAATATAATAGTACTCTAACAGTAAATGTGTCCATATATTGCCTCTCTAGTCCATTTAGCTGAACATAAAGGTAGAAATCTGGAGGAAGAAGTTTATCCTCTCAAAAAACATTCCCTCAAAAAACATCCCTCTGTGACCAAACACTGCTTAAGACTAGGAGAATACAAAGGTGTGGTGTTGCATAAGAGACATAACATGCTACAAGATAAACCATAGCCATAAGATCTATTTAAGCATCCCATCAGGGCTGACAATATGTCACTTAGCAGTATGATGCAACCTTGTCCAGGGATTTCCAGGAGACATAGTCACCTCAGCATGAATGTAAATTTCAGAAACCTTAAACCAAAGTTTACCCTTATAAGAATAGCTTAAACGCCCTTTATGAAATAAACACCTAGTAACTGGCCTGGACCGAATATCAGTATTAAAAAAGGGGAAGGATTCCTCAAACTTTGAGAATGTCTCCAAAGAAAGACCCTCCTAGTGAGTCCATCATTTGAGATGTAAGCAAGCCACAGCAAAAGCCCTGGAAGGAGAATTTATTTGGAGGTAATACAGAGGGCCTCTCAAGGTATGAGGCATATGGGCTGACCTTGAAGGAAGCCTGTGATTCTTCAAGATCAAGAGCATCGTCAGCAGAGGAAACTACATGAGCAAAGATAAAGAGGTACGAAGACACTTCCAGAAAGAAAAGAGGGACAGATAAAGGGGAAGAGGGATGTGTGTGTCTGTGTCCCATACTCTCACTTTCCTTTATAAAAATCATCAAGAGCCGGGCTCGGTGGCTCAGCCTGTAATCCCACACCTTTGGGAGGCTGAGGTGAGTGGATTGATTGAGCCCGTGGGTTCGAGACCCACCTGGGCAGCGAGACCTCATCTCTACAATAAATCAAAAATCAGCCGGGCGTGGTAGCGCATGCCTGTAATTCCGGCTACTCGGAAGGCTGAGGTGGAAGGATCGCCGGAGCCCAGCAGGTGAGGCTGCGGTGGCCAGGAGCGGCCACTGCACTCCAGTCTGGGCGACAGAGTGAGACTCCAACTCAAAAAAAAAAAAAAAAATCATCAAGGTATGAAGTGTTCAAATGGCATGCTGTTTTAACCTTGAGAACATCCCAGTGACTGCTCAGGATCTGCTGGAGTGTAAAACTCTTCGTGTATATACAGTTAGATAGGATTGGCAAAAGCAGAGATCTTGCCGTCATCTCCTTTTTGCAACCTTCATGATACTTTACACATAATACCCACTTCATAAAAATGTTGGCTGTTACTTAAATTGAATCAAGAGCAAACTATAACTGTAACTCGGGTCTTACACTTTTCTTGTATTTGAAGTTTCCGTGTGCACATGACCTCATTCACAAGTTGTTTCCTTGCTTCCTTTTCAAGTCTCAGCTCTTTGTCCTCCGCAGCCAGTTTTTTTTCCTTCTCTTCCTCTAATATTCTGTCCAATTCTTTCTCCTGAGCTTTCTCTTCTTCATGTCTCTGGGTCAAATATTGATGATATATCTTCTGTTCTCTTATCATGTCTTCCTGAGTAACATAAAAATTAATTTTGTTAACATTTTTAGGTGTGCTAATGATACTAAGGATAAATTTTAAAACAACATTTTTGTTCAGGGTCTGCTTATGAGTGAGAACATGTGGTACTCAGTTCTTTGTTTCTGTGATAGATCACTGTATTATACTCTAAAAGTCCATCCAAGTTGCTGCAAAGCTCATAATTTCATCCTTCTTTATCATAATACTATTTAAAAAAAAAAAAAGGAATTGGCAGTAGTGAGAAACTGCCAGGGGAGAAGGGCACACTTCATTAATAAGGGTACCTGATCTCAAACCAGATGAAGTGGGGACCAAAGTGAGGCCCAGACCTGTACAATGACCATTTGTATACTGAAAGGAGGTCCCTATAGAAACCTAGACTAAACTTAGTTTAGCATGGTCTTTGCCTCAGCATAGCCATTTTTGCTTAGACTTTACCCCTGACATGCTTTGAATCTAGCACAGGTTAGACATAGATAGATAAATTTCCAATAGGCAGATTTTAGGAAGCGTTCAGACATTTTAAAATTACATTTTACTGCAGGCCAAGCAGCAGCCTACCCCAACCCCTCGGCAAATCTCCATAAGATGCAAGACAAGGACAGAGCCATAGAAATGATAATAGACTACCTTTTGGTCAAGTAGTTTGTGGATTGCAAATGTCTAACAAATCTCTGGCAGGAAAAATCCCTCTGGGCCCAAATCCCCCCAAGTCAACCTAATCAGCCCTTTGTGACTTTCATGACACCAGCAGACCCCCCCACCACCATGGCAGCAATCATGTGACTTAACACACCCATCTGCCGGCTGTCCATCACCTGATGCTAGTGCCTGTGCTGGCCTGTCCCTTCATGATGACGTAGAGCAGACCACCCAATCACCTTAATGACCTTCCTCATCCAAGGGAAATGGTTAAAAGGACTCTGCCACGAGCAGCCATTTTGCCGTTGCCAGACTATCACCGCCACTGCCTTCCTAGCTTTAGCCTCCTCCCCTACCTTGGGGAAGTGAATCTCCTTTCCCTCTTTGTATCTTCCATGCAGCCTCGGATTGCGCACCAGACACCCCACATACCCGAAGGGCCTGATCCAACATTCTAGAGGCCCCGCTGGGAGCACGTGACCCTAACATTTCTTGGAGGCCCCCCCAAGATGTGACCTAACATACATCTAACCCTGAATTGTATACCATATCTTTAAAGTAAAAAATAAAAACAAATAAGTAAATAAAAACAATATTTTAAAGCACATATTTTAGAGCTACACACTGAAACATTTTGTATTAGTTCATTTTACATTGCTATAAAGGAATACCTGAGGTGGGTAAAAAAGACGGATATTTGGTTCACAATTTTGCAAACCGTATAAGAAGCATAGTGCTAACATCTTCTTGTGAAGCCTCAGGAAGCTTACAGTCATGGTGGAAAGGGAAGGGGAGAAGGCATGTCGCATGAAAAGGGTGGAAGCAAGGCAGGGGATGTCCTAGACTCTTCTTTAACAACCAGATCTTGTGTGAACTTACTATCTTGGAGAAGGCACCCAGGCATTCATGAGGGATCCACCCTCATGACCCAAACAGCTCCCACTAGGTCACATCTCCATCACAGGGCTCACATTTCAACATGAGATTTGGAGGGGACAACATCCAAACTATAGCATTCCTCCCCTGGCCCCCCAAGTCTCATTTCCTTCTTACACTGCAGAATGCAATCTTCCTTCCCAATAGTCTCCCAAAGTCTTAACTCATTCCAGCATCAACTCAAAAGTCCTAAGTCTCATCTGAGACTAAGGGCAAGTTTCTTCCAACAATGAGCCTGTAAGACCAAAAACAAGTTTTCTTCCAACATGCAAGAGTGATACAGGTACTAGGCAAACATTTCCATTCCAAAAAAGGAGAAACTGACTAAAAGAAAATGGTAACAGGTTTCCTGCAAGTCTGAAAACTAGCGAAGCAAGCGTTAAATCTTAGAACTCTGGAATAATCCTTGACTCTGAGGACTAAACGCTGATCTTCTGTTTCTTGCCCAAAATGCTAGCTAAAGAGCCTGGGGAGTCATACCCTACAAAACATAAAGTCTCATCAGATGAATTTTTTATGAATCCTATATAATGTGGCTTATTTTCCAAACCTGACTCTGGCATAAGATCACATAAAAGATAAAGAAACAAAAAAAATTTTATACCAAAATATGTTTCTTTTGACATGACCCTGCACAGCTCTCTAGGGGAAATTTGAATCTGTACAGAATCCCCTTCCTGGGGATTCTTGGAGAGCCAGAAACCTTTAAAGACATTTACCACCTAGTTTCTCCAGGCCTGCTGCTTAGAGCCTTCATCTACATATCAAGAAACTTGGTTTTCTTAATTCCCCTTATGTCAACTCAGCATTTCTCTTACTGATTTTAAATTCTTTAAACAGAGCTTAACTGTTTCTACCTACTACCAATCAAAAAATCTTGGAAACTACTTGTGATCTGCAAGCCCCCCACTTGGAGATGCTATGATTTTCTAGGCTAAACTAATGTAAACTTCACATGAATTTAGCAGTGCTGCAGAATACAGAATAAATATACAAAAGTTCAGCCAGGTGTGGTGGCTCACACCTGTTATCCCAGCACTTTGGAGGCCAAGGCTTGAGCCTGGGAGTTTGAGACCAGAATGGGCAACACAGTGAGATCTTATCTCCACACACAAAAAATTTTTAAATTAGCTGGGTGTGGTCAAGTATGCCTATAGCCCTAGCTACTCAGGAGCCTGAAGCAGAATTATTGCCTGAGTCCAAGAGGCTGTGTTGAGATGTGATTGTGTGATTGTGACACTGCACTCCAGCCTGAGTAACAGAGTGAGACCCCCAACTCCAAAAAAACAAAAGTTCATTGTATTTCTATTCTGTAGCAATGAACAATCTGAAAATGAAATGAAAATCTCTTTTATAATAGAAATTTTATGCTTAGGAATAAATTTATCAAAAGAAGTATAAAATGTATATTCTGAAAACAAACAATATTTTTCTTTTTCTTTTTTTTTTGAGTTGGAGTCTCGCTCTGTCGCCCAGACTGGAGTGCAGTGGCCGCTCCCAGCCAACTGCAGGCTTGACCTGCTGGGCTCCGGTGATCCTTCCGCCTCAGCCTTCCGAGTACCTGGAATCACAAGTGCACACTACCACACCCGACTAATTTTTTATTTATTGCAGAGAACAAACATTATTAAAAAATTAAAGAATACTTAATGAAAAGACATCATAAGTTCATGGATCAGAAGACAACACTGTGACCACACTAAAAGGGAAATACTTCCCAAATTGATCTACAGATTCAACAAAATCCCTACACAAGTTCCAATTGGCTTCTTTGCAGAAATTGACAAGTTGATCCCAGATTCATACAGATATGCAAGAGAGCCAGAATAGCCAGAATTATCTGAAAAAGAACACAGTTGGAAGATTCACATTTCATGATTTCAAACTTACTACAAAGCTACAGTAATCAAGTCATATAGTGAAAGCAGCATAAGGACAGATGTACAGACTGATGAAATAGAAATGAGAGTTCACAAATAAGCCTTCATTTTACTGTAACTGATTTTTGACAAGAGCATCAAGACAATTCAATAGGGGAACAACAGTCTCTTCAACAAATGATGCTGGGACAACTGAATATCCACATGTATAATAACAAAGTTGGATCCTTACCTCATACCATATATGAAACTTAACTCACAATGGATCAAAGGTCTAAATATAAAAGCTCAAACTATAAAGCACTCAGAAGAGAACAAAGGAATACATCATTGTTATCCTAGGAGTAGGCAACAGTTTTTAAAATACGATACCAAAAGTACAAGCAACAAAAGGAAATACAGTCAAGCTGAACTTCATCAAAGTTTAAAACTTTTGTGATTCAAGACACCATCAAAAAAGTGAAAAGACAACTCACAGAACAAGATAAATAGTTGCGAGTAATTTAGCTAACAAAGGACTTGAATGTAGACTATATAAATAATTCTTACAATTAAAAAAGGACAAACAATCCAACAAAAAAATGGGGAAAGGACTTAAATAGACTACTTTCCAAATTTTATGCTATAAAGTAGATTTCTCCAAGGAAGATCTAAAAATGGTCAATATGCACAGGAAAAGAGGCTCAACATCATTAGTTATTGGGAAAATGCAAATAAAAACCACCTCAGATACACCAGAATGGCTCAGATAAAACAGACAGACCATAACAAGTGTTGATCAACATGTGGAGAAATCAAACCCTTATATGAGGGGGAACTCAGAAAACAGCCTGGAATCATCCTTTGGAGGGCAGTACCCTTGTGGTACAGGCTTCCCCTCCTCGTCAATATACCAGTTTTAAGAAGGCTGCATCACAATTCGCAGAAGAAATGTCCCGAGTCGTGGCAAACAGATGACCAATTCTTCTTCCATAACTGCTCCTGCCCACCCCGCACTGAATGTTCAGCAGTTTTGTTTTGCTTTTTTACCAAAAACAGCATGATCCCTACTCTCCATGTTCCCTATTAATCTGATCTTGCCCTAGAAACTCATTTTTGTTTCCACAAATTAAAAAAGGACCAGGGAAATGTTTTGCTAATGTGGAAGAAGTGAAACAAAAAAATAGAAGAAGCATTAAAAGGCATCAAAATGGACGAGTTCAAAAACTGAGCAGTGGAAAAAGCATCTCAATACATACATTGCATCAAATAGAAAGTACTTCGAAGGTGACTGAAATTTAAACATAAAAATAAATACACAATTTTAATAAATAAATTCTGTGTTTTGGGGAATCCCCACTTATACACTGCTGGTAGGAATGTAAAATGGTTCAACCACTTTGTTTGTTTGCACTGGGGTCTCAGTGTAGTGGCATGATCATACCACAGTCACAAACTCCTGGGCTCAAGCAATCCTCCCACCTCATCCTTCCTATGGTTCAACCACTCTGGAAAACAGTTTAGCAGTTACTCAAAAGCTTAATCATAAAGCTATCTTATGACCCAGTAATTCTGCTCCCAGATATATGCCCAAAATACGTGAAAACATACATTCACATAAAATGTGTACATGAATGTCTATAGTAGCATTATTCATAATAGCCAAAAAGTAGAAGCAACTCAAATGTTCATCAACAGACATATGTGCAAAAAGTGGCATAAACATACAATGTAATATTATCCAATCATACAGAGGAATAAAATAATTATACATGCTACAACATTGATAAACCCTGAAAAACATTATGCTAAGTGAAATAAGTCAGTCAAAAGGTTCACATAACACATAATTTCATTCCTATGAAAGTCCAGAATAGGGAAATCTATAGAGACAGGAAGAAGATTAGTCTTCTTAGGACTGGGGAAGTAGATTAGTATTCTTAAGACTTCTACTTAGGAGGTGTGGAAGAGAAGATAGTGGGATAACAAAAATGTTCTAAAATAGAATATGATGATGGTTGCAGGTATCTGTGGATATATTAAAAACTATTTAATTGTACACTTTAAAAGGAAGAATTCTATGTTATATAAATTATGTCTCCACGAAGTTGTTAAAAATAAATAAAGTAAAATCATTCAATTGTGAAGAAAATACCCAAAAGAAAAAAAATCAAACAAGCAAGTCCATTAGAAAATGGGCAAAATACATGAAGAGACATTTCACTGAAGAAGATATACAGACAACATCATTAGCCATCGAGAAGTATGAATTAAAACCGCAGTAAGATCTTACCTCACACCAACCAAAATGACTAAAGAAAGATAGTGACAACGTTGGTGAGGATGCAGAGAAACTTGATTACTCAAGCATCACAAGGGTAGAGATGCAAGACAGTAGTACATCTACTCTGAAACAGTCTCGTTTCTTAAAAAAAAAAAAAAGCATGCAACTACCTTATGACCTAGCAATTGCCCTTCTTAGTGTTCATCTCACAGAAATGAAAATTTGTGTTCACGCAAGAACCTGTATCTAAATGTTTATATAGCAGCTTTATTCATAACAGCCATAAACTAGAATACTCCAAATGTTCTTCAACAGGTGAATGTCAAACAAACTGATAAATCTCTGACCATGAATACTACTCAAAAGCAAAAAAACAAACAAATTATTGATAGATGCAGCAGCAACTTAGATAAATCTCCAGAGAGTTATGCTAAATGAAAGGTATAAATCCCAAAAGGTTACATACTATATACTTCCATTAAAATAGCATTATTTTTAAATTTTTATTTATTTTTAATTTTTGAGTTGGAGTCTCACTCTGTCACCCAGGCTGGATCACCCAGGCTGGAGTGCAGTGGCACGCTTACGGCCACCATAGCTTCAACCTGCTGGGCTCAGGTGATCCTTCCACCTCAGCCTTCTAAGTAGCTGGAACTTCAGGTATGTGCCATCACACCCAGTTACTTTTTTTAAAAAAAATATTGTCAAGACGAGGTCTCGCCAAGTTGCCTAGGCTGATCTTGAACCCCCAGGCTCAGGCAATCCCCCTGCCTCTGCCTCCCAAAGTGCTGGGATTACAGGCTTGAGCCACCGCACCTGGCAATATAACATTCTCAACAAAATAAAATTATAGAAATGAAGAAAAAATTACTGGCTGCCCAGGGTTAAGGAGGGGCAGGACAAGAGGGGAGTAAATATGGCTATAAAAGGGCAGTAGGAGAGAGAGATCCTACCGGTAACAGATATGTTCTGTATCTTGACTGTGTAGAGGTCAGTATCCTGACTGTGACACTACCATAGTTTTGCAAGTAGTTACCATTGAGGGAAACTGAGTAAAGGACACAAGGGATCTTCCTGTACTATTTCTTGAAAATGCATATGAATCTATAATTATCTCAAAATAGGAAAGTTTAAGGAAAAATTAAAGCACCTGTAGGAAAAGCACAACACTCTTAAAAGTTCAATACTAAATACTGAATGCTTTCCAACTCAAATACCACTTTTTCTGTGATGTCTTCCCCAAATTCCAAGAGCTTTCAAACTTCAGTGAGCATCAGATTCACCTGTAGGACCTTGTTAAAACACAGATTTCTTGCCTCTGTCAAGATTTTGATTTGTATATTTAGATTCTGGAGGCTGTGAATTTATATTTCCAACATACTGTTGGTCCACGGACCACACTTAGAGTAGCACCATTATACTTATGGCTATCTTCCACAAGACTGAGAACTCAACAAGAAATCCCGTACAACATAAAGTAGACACCAAATAAATGTCTTACTCTTTTCTTCTTCTTTTTATCTGCCTCTTCCTGTAAGTCTTGAAGGGCCCTTTGCACAAGCTTTATGTTCAAGTCTTGTTCTTCTCTTAATGCCTGCTGAATGTGCTCTATCTTCTCTTGTAGGGCTTTTTGCAAAGTGTTTCTAACTTCCTGTTTTTTCTTTTGCTCCTTTATCTTATCTTGTTCATTCTCAAGTTTAAACTGTGCATTGTCATTTTCCTAAGGTAGAACAGTAATGAAGATAATGCAGCACCAAAACAGTTGGACAAAACAAAGAATACACTTAAGAGATGAAAATAAGAGATTTCTGGAAATACACACACATGGATTTAGAGTGGTTATAAGAAATAAAACTTGCCTTTTCATTGCTAAGCAATAAAGTTTGTGAAAATCATTCTGTGTATGTGATTATAAAGTCATAAGTATTAAATACTATGATGTGCAATTTTTTAAAGTAAAGCAATAAATAATTGTGGAGTTCAAAATTGCAGAAAAATATAAAGAAAAGCCACCCTTAATGCTAGTACCCATTAGCCACCACCTCTTAACATTTTGGTGTACTGACCTTCCACACAATTCTTCTATGTATTCTACAAATCTCTATTTGGATATATTATTAAAATGCAGTAAGAGTCAAAAAACGGAAATGTGCCCTGTGAACCAGGCAGGCCATCAGGGAAACTGTAGTGTAACAGGCCTGCAAACTGTGCTACACTTATGGAGTTGACAGACCTACAACAAGCATTTTAAAATGCCCACCACAAGGCGTGCTTCCTCTTCTTTCAGCAGCTGTGTGGCCTGTCTTTGTGCCTTGATGCTGGTGATCTGGGCATTCAGCCCCAAGCCTGTGCTCTCCACCAGCTCTTTCTGTCTCCTGGCCTCTTGGGCTTCTCGCCTCTCTTTGGCTAGTCGATCTTCCTCCCAGAGCTTTGAGAACAACTGCTCTTCCACCAGTTTTTGCCTCTTCAGCTCCTCATTGAATGCTATCTGTGCTTTCCGCTCCTCAAACACCTTCTTCTGATGGACACAAAACAATTCAACACGGAGCTCCTCACAGTGTTCCCTGAAAAGGAAATGTCAGAAAAGGCAAAACCCAGCCTTTCATGAGGCATTGTCCTACTGAGGCACATATTTGTACAGTCACACACTGTAAGAAAAGCCAAAGACCTGGATGTAGGCCACCTGAGGAAACATGTAAGGGAGTAGCAGGGAGGCAGGTGCCAGGATGTCACTGCCAAAATACAGGAAGAACTGCGGTGAGGCAGAGGAGGCGTTGAATCCTAACTTTCTCATTTCCTGTGTGACCCTGGACCAAAAATTCAACCCATTAGAGCCTGTTTCCTCATCTGTAAAATAACTGCCTTTCAAGGTTCTGGTAAGGATCAGAACACCTGGTAGATTATAAGGGCTCAATAAGTGGTAACGATCATTATTACTGGAGAAGAAATAGAAGAGGGATGGATACCTGAAATGTTACAAGTGAATTAGGAATTTGGTTGGAAGAGACCCTGTGTGCACATTTGAGGAAAGACTAAAGGATAGTATCAGTATCATGGTGAAGCATCTCAGTTGCTCCTGAATTCCTGGCAGTGCACATGTTCACTAAAGGGGTTTCTTCCAGAGTTGAAAAAACAGCCCAATTTCTGCTGCTCCACTACCCTTTCACACCCAGACTTATGCCACCATTCAAGAAGAAATGCTCTTTCAATAAGTATTTAGACACCACTCTCTTTCAGTCTTAGTAATTCAAATTTCAAAAGTTCTTCATTGGGCCAATTTTTTAAAGGGTTATGATTCTCAACACTATTTACTTATTAGAATTATTTAGGGATGTTTTCAAAATCGCTATCCCCTGTTTATCCCTCTCCATATCTTAGGCCAGACAAATAAAATCAAAATATCTGGGAGTAGGACCCAAACACATGTATCTTTTTTAGAGCTCTGAGAAGGTTCTTGTGTACAGCCAAGTCTGAGAACCTTTTATTGAAGAAAATGTTTACAATCAATAGGTTCTCCCGGTTTCTAAATCTAATGGAGCACCAGGAAGCTGAAGTTTGGAGAATGGGTTTAATAAATAACTTTTAAAGATATCTGAGTTGCTAAAACTGAAAGGATGGGGTCTAAACTCATTATATGGGTGTTCTTTGATATCAAAAAATGGATTTATCTGTCTCAAATTAATCAGTGAAATTCTATCAGAATTGGCCAAGATAACTTATTAAAGTCCTTCCCAATTCTATTGTTCATAATTTAGCAAAGTTATTCAATTAATGAAAATCTAAAATCTAAGAATAACTAGTATGACATAACATTTTTATTTTAAAAACTCTTTTTTCTAATTACAAAATTAATACCTATTTATTCTGTATTTCTGAAAAATACGAAAAAGTAAAGACACTAAAAAGAAAAATTTTGAATTCTACAAGCAAGAACTGCAATTAGCATGTCATGTGTTTCTTTCCAGTCTTATGTGTGTGCGAGGGGGGACTCCCTCAAAAAAACAAAATTATCTTTTGAAGGGCAGGCCCCTTGTAGTACAGGCTTCTTCCACTTTGTAAGTGCTCTAGGAACTCACTGGCATCAGTGTGCCAGTTTTTAGAAAGTTACTTCATGATTTATGAAAGAGACATTCCAAGTTGTGGCAAACGGGTGACTGGTTCTTCCTCCATGACAATGTACCTACCCACTTTACATGGGGTGTTTGGCAGTTTGTGACCAAAACAGACATGCCTCCCATGCCCCACCTTCCCTATTCACCTGATCTCATCCCAAGTGACCTTTTTTATTTTGTTTCCCTGGATGAAAAATATCCTCAAAAGGAAATGCTTTGCCGATGTAGAAAAGGTGAAAGAAAAAATGGCAGAGGCACAAAAGGCATCAAAATTGATGAGTTCCATAACTTTACTGAGTAGTGGGGAAAAATGTCTCACATGTATTGCATCAAATGGAGAGTACTTTGAAGGTGACTGAAGTTTAAACATATAAGAATGTATAATTTTTTATAAATACATTTTTTTCAGGGGAGGTCCCTCTTGTATGAGCATCTCTGTTAGAAATGGAGTCAGTGTGTGTGTGTGTGTGTGTGTGTGTGTGTGTGTGTGTGTGTGTGTGTGTGTATTCTTGTATCTTTATTTTTCCACCTAAATTATATTGTGAGCAATGCCTCATAAAATATTCCCCAAAATAATTCCTAACTTCAACTTAAGTATAATTTAGTAAACTATGTAATAAAGGCTGGAACCCATATATATTGCAGTTTATGAAAACATTTCCCTATTTAATAAACATATAGGTTACTTCTGACTTTATTTTTAATAATGTTGCAATGAACATTCTTAAATGCAGTTTTTTCTGCTTATCTTTGATGATTTCCTTAAAATAAAAAAAATGAATGTATCTATCTCAAATTCAGGTGGCTCAGCCTGTAATCCCAGCACTTTGGGAGGCCAAGGCTAGTGGACTGCCTGAGCCCACAGGTTCGAGACCAGCCTGGGCAACTTGGTGAGACCTCGTCTCTACGATAAATTAAAAAAAAAATTAGCTGGGCATGGTAGTGCATGCCTGTGGTTCTGGCTACTTGGAAGGCTGAGGAGGAAAGATCGCTAGAGCCCAGCAGATTGACACCGGAGTGACCATGAGCATGACACTGCACTCCAGCCTGGGCAATGGAGTGAGACTCCAACTCAAAAAAAAAAAAAAAAAAAAGAAATTTTTCCTTTATATAAAATTGAAGAGTACAAACATTGTTAAGGCAGTTGATGCATGCTACCAAGAAAGGCTGAATTAACAGTGTATGAAAATACCCATATCAAGTATGCCTTTAGATCAGTAGGTCTTCAAAATGTTTTGATTATATATTACTTTCAGTAAAAAAAAAAAAATTCTAAGCACCAGCAAACAAATATGGTTATTACTTATGAATTGTATGTAGTTACTACTATATTACTACACATGATTAAACATGCAAAAATTAAAATTAAAAAGTGATTAGATAAAAAACAGTCATCAGATATTTTCTTCCCACACCTGAATGATTCACCTATTCACTTGACTTTGGGAACCCCTAGCTTTGGGATCTGCACTTTTATCTAGAGATAGGACATTTATCTATTTGAATGACAATAATACTTGATAAGAGGAAAACTTGATGAGTACTTTATAGTTTACAAGGTACTTTCAGATAGAATATCTTATTTGATCCTTACAAGTAGCAGGCAGGTATGATCCTCATTTCAGATTAAAGCAATTGCAGGTCGGGGAGCCTGAGTGTCTTCCCAAGCAACACAGCCAGCAGTAGGAATATTATTAGCAATAGTTATTGAATGCTTATTATCTTCCAGGCACTATTTTAAGCACATTACCATGTATGAGCCCTTGTAATCATATACATGTGGCAGTAGATATTATTTCTGTTAAGTTCACTTTTATTACTACTGTTATCTGTGGTCTACAAATGAGGAAAGGGAGGCAGACAGCAGTTAAGCATCTTACCCAAGTTGATCCATTTCATATGTTATAGCACTGGGACTCAAGACCTGGTAGTATGGCCTTGGAGTTTGGGTTCCTTGGACCCATCATATCACCTCTGCTGGAAAGTCTTCCCACAGGTGTACTGACCATACACCCCCCAAATGCCTACCTTCATGTGGAGTCTAATCATTAACTACGTGTAAAGATAGGCCATTTACAAAGAAATTTCACAATGTGCCAAAAGCATAATCCATAAAAGAAACTGATAAGTTGAATTCCATTAATATTAAACACTTTTGGCATGGTGGCTCATGCCTGTAATCCCAGCAACTTGGGAGGCCTGGGGTTGGAGAATTGCCAGAGCCCAGGAGTCCAAGACCAGCCTAGGCAATATAGTGAGACCTCGTCTCTACAAAAAATTAAAAAATTAGTCAGGCATGGTGGTGTGCACCTGTAGTCCCAGTTACTCGGGAGGCTAAGGCAGAAGGATCGCCTGAGTCCAGGAGATTGAGGCTGCAGTGAGTTGAGAATCACACCACTACACTCACCTAGGTGACAAGAGTAAGACCCCCACCTCAAAAAACAAACAAACAAAAAGACACCTTTGCTCTGTGAAAGATCCTGTTAAGAGGATAAACAGACAAGATGCAGACTAGTAAAAAGCAATCTGACAAAGGAGTTATATTCAGAATATATAAAGAATTCTCAAGACTTAACAGCTAAAAAACAACCTAATTAGAAGACAGGCAAAAGATATGAAGAGACATTTCACCAAAGAGAATATACAGATTGCAAATAAGCACGTGAAAAATTGTCCAACATCACCCGTTATTAGAAAAACACTAGTTAAACCTATTAATATGATGACATAGTACTACATACGTATTAGAACAGCTAAAGAAAAATAGTGAAATACCAAAAGCTGGCAAGGATGTAGAAAAATTGGATCATACACTGCTGGTGAAAACATAAAATGATACAGCCACTCTGGAAAAGTTTCTTAAAAAAAAACTAAACATATACCTATAATCTATCAATGGCATATGACAATTATGTTAAAAAAATGAAAACCTATGCTCACACAAAAAAGTTCCTATCAGATCATTTATAATAGCCAAAAGCTAGAAACAAACAAACTGTCCTTCGATAAATTAATGATTTAAACAAATTGAGGCTCATCCATGCAATGGAATACTACTCAGCAATAGAAGAGACAAACCAGTAATACATGCAACAACTTAGTTGCCTCAAAGACATTTTGTTGAGTAAAAAAGGCCAATAGCAAGATTATATATTGTGTGATTCCATTTATATGGCATTCTTAAAATGATGAAATTATGGAAACTGAAAAGAGGTTAGTGGTTGCCAGGAGATAGGAACGATAGGGGTGAGAGTGCTGAGTATGACTGTATTGATGGAATAGTTCTGTATCTTGATTGTGGTGGTGGTTTTACAGATCTACACATGTGACATAATGGCACAGAACTATGCACAGACATTGAACCACTGCCACTTTCCTTGTTTTAATATTGTATTAGAGTTATGTAAGGTGTAACCATTAGGGGAAACTAGGTGAATGGTACATGGAATCTCTGTACTATCTTTTCACTTTGTGAACATATAATTATTAAAATTAAAAACTAGCTATTTTTTGTCATTATTATTCATTTTATTTCATTACTATTACTGAAAATAATTTTGCTGTATAAAACGATCCACTCCAGGTATCAAGTATTTTAGGAATGATACCGAATATACCTAAGAGAAATGAATGCTTATGCCCATCAAAAGATATGTTCAAGAATATTCACAGCAGCTTTACCATGAGTCCCAAACCAGAATAACTGAAATGATTGCTACCAGGAGAATAAATAAATTGTGGGATATTTTTATAATAGAATAAAAAAAAGTAGAAGGAAGAATAAGGAGAAATAATGTACTAAAGCCTCAATTATATTTTCACTAATGAGACCCAATATAGCATCCTTCGTCAAAAGTGTGTTTGCTGCTCTGTATTGAAGAGTTGGCTATGTACATTAAGAACACTGAAAACAATTTGCTTTCAAATCAGCTATATTACTGTTGGATATACTCTTTCTTTAAAATTTTAACTATTCATCTAACTAGCAAAAATTCAGTTAAAAGTGAAATTTGTGAAACGCTGCCAAATTCATAAATTTCAAAAGCATAACCACTGACAAACACTTCGTTTTTCTTAATATACTGAAAAACACTCACTGGGGAGGAGAAAGTCCGTGGTCCACTGAGAGTCACTTTGCTGGTGACTTTGCTCCCCACGGCATCTTCTCCCCCAGCAACCGGCAGGGAAGGGTCCAAGTCCCACTGAGGACAGGGTAGACACACACTTTACAGAGACTGACAACTCAAGTCTGAGCCCATTTTGGCTACCCAGGTGAATGCCTGCCTGTGGAAGCCAGACATCCACCTGCAAGCTGAGAAGGGCACGCCACTTAGGGCCTGCGCTTTGCTCCTCCGGACTTCTTTACTACACCGCCCTCTTGTGGCAGCTCCCCAAGCCCGGAGAACTCCCATCCCTCCTGCTTTACAGCCTACATTTACTTCTTGGCAGCTGCACCTGCAACTTGCACCCAAGCACTAAGAGCAGGAACTGCCATGACTTACTTTTCCTCTGGCCCCTGGTAGGAGGGTTTAAGGCAGTCCATATTCATAGCAACTTCATATCTCCAAGAGAGAGGAGACGGCCAAAGCTTTGCTCTAGGCCATGTCCCTCCACATGTTTCACTCTGCTGCTTTCTCATGCCTGTTGGATTAGGTAGGATTTCTGACCTACCTAAATTCTGAGTGCTGTGAACAGATGAGCACTCGCATGCCTTTTGTATCTTAGCAGATTTTAACTCGGGGTTTACACATATTCTTGGACCAACTGCTCCTGCTTCCTGCATAACATGATACACACGCTGCCCCACTCACTCCTGGTGAGCTGAAGGCCTAAGTGACACGATCACAGAGGCCGGCACACAAAAAATTACTGAATGGATGAAAGTCAGTGGCTATGTTTTAAACACTTCCAGGTGATATTTGAACTTTACAAATCCCTTCTGAAGATAAAAATATTTTTTCTTTTTTTTTCTTAGATTCAGGGGTTATGTATGCATATTCATTATAGGCACATATTGTGTAGTGCCTGGGATTGGGTCTCAGGTGGCCCATTCCCAAGAGGAGAACACTGTACCCTGTATGAAGATAAAATCTTAATCCATTACTCTAAAATTTAAAATCAGATTAAGTAGACAATTTGGAGCATTTCATGGGCCACATCTTGTGACAATCACTGCACTGAAAGACGTGAATGAAGAAATCATTCTGAGAAAAATAATAGCAATTCTTAATGTTCATACACTTACAAGTATCAGAGGCTTCAAAATTATGAACTATAAGTATATAACAGCTCCTGGTTTAAGAGATGTAGCTCTAGGGAGGAATATAAGACATTAAGACTTTTAGTATGTCTTTGCTTTAGAGGTAAGAAATCTCTTAGTTTGTGAAATTAAAAATGCCAAGCTCTTGATGATATAATACTATATAGATCATCTCAGAGGATAACCCTTGGGTATTCCCATACAAACCTTTCCTCTGTGAGTGTACGGTATTGGGCTGAAATCAGAACACAGACTCAGGGTAGCCTAAGATGAAAAAACACGATGAAAAAGGGATAGGGAGACAACCACAGGATTGGATAGAGTACAGTGAGGCCCAGGGATTACTATGAAGGTCAATACGGGTCTGGATCAGGAAGTAATCAGAAGTCTTGGTAGTGTCAGATCCCAAGGATCAGAGGCAAAGGGAGAGACAATAAATAATAGGGAACCAAGCACACATGTAAAACAGGTGTAGAGTACAAGCAGTCGGGAGGGAATTCAGCTTTACCAAAGACTCCCCAGAACAGGGGCTTTAAAAGTACTCCATGCCAATAGCAAGAATGAGGTTGATAGCTAAAATACAGTAACAAAATCTCACTGGGCACTTCCGTTCTAATTGAGAAGCAAGCACAGACCATTAGAGCACAGTTCTCAGACAAATTCCGTGTTATTCAATGATGAGTAATATAATTGCCAAGACATAAAGATACAACTACAGTGTCTACCCTTTTAAGACTATAATTTATGCCAAATTAGCCTTCCTAAATCCTTTCTTTCTTTTTCAGACATGAGGTCATTCTGTCACTTAGTCTGGAGTGCAGTGGAATAATCATAGCTCACCACAGCCTCAAACTCCTGGGCTCAAGCAATCCTCTTGTCTCAGCCTCCCAAGTAGCTAGGACTCCAGGTACATGTCACCATGCCTGGAAAATTTTCCTATTTTTTGTAGAGACGGTATGTCACTTTGTTGCCCTGGCTGGTCTCAAACTCCTGGCCTCAGTTATCTTCCTGCCTCAGCCTCCCAAAGTGCTGGGACCACAGTCATGAGCCACCATCCTCGGCTCTAAATCTTTCTTGAATATGCTAATTTTGAATTCTGTTTGTGTGTTTTTCTGATACCATTACCTGAACTGCTGGTCTAGTTTTTCAGCCACAAACTCCTGCCTCTCTTTTTCTTTCTTCTCTTTTAATAATTTAGTTTTTTCTCTCATTCTACCTTTTTTCTCCTCAATAGTTTCTTCTTTTAATTGCATTTTGGTAAAATACTCATTTTCTTCTAAAGCTAAGAGTTCACGTAGCCTGAAATAAAAAGACAAAGAAAAACTTTTTTAAACTGTTATGCTATGTGTATCATATTTTTGATTTTTCTTTGTTATATTCAACTTCAGAATTACATATCTAATAAATTTTTTAAGAAGGAAAATCACTGTAGTCCTCCATAAAATAAGGCTAGCTTTCATTTAAAGCAATACAGAAACTAATCTGCACCATCATTTATTTGATCATACACAGAAAGTTATGAAATATAAGTAAAATGAACACATTTCTTTTTTTTTTTTTTTTTTTTTTTTGAGTTGGAGTCTCACTCTGTCGTCGACTGGAGTGCAGTGGCCGGGAGTGGCCTCGACCTGCTGGGCTCCAGTGATCCTTCCATCTCAGTCTTCTGAGTAGCCGGAATTACAGGCACACGCTACCACACCCACCTAATTTTTTTGATTTTATTGTAGAGATGAGGTCTCGCCTGCCCAGGAGGGTCTCGAACCCATGAACTCAGGCAATCCACTCACCTCAGCCTCCCAAAGGCACGGGATTACAGGCTGAGCCACCGAGCCTGGCTAATGAACACATTTCAATTAAAATAATGAAACATGACTGGGCTTGGTGGCTCAGCCTATAATCCCAGCACTTTGGGAGGCCGAGGTAAGTGGACTGCCTGAGCCCATGGGTTCGAGACCAGCCAGGCAACTAGGCGAGCCCTTGTCTCTACAATAAAAAATTAGCTGGATGTGGTAGGGCATGCCTGTGGTTCCGGTTACTTGGAAGGCTGAGGAAGAAGGATCACTGAAACTTAGAAGGTCGACGCTGGGGTGGACATGAGTGTGCCACTGCACTCCAGCCTAGGAGACAGAGTGAGACTCTGACTCAAAAAAATAAAATAATGAAACATGAAACCATATATTATCTTGTTTTCCATCAAAACGTAGGTTATCATAAATAAAAACATTAATAAGCAATAGCTATTGCTTTGAATATAAATATCTCAGCCACAATCCTTACTACACTTGATTTTTAACAGGGCAATCTCAAATTTTGGTTTTAGGCACGTTTCATAGTCTGAGTTCCAGCTTTGTAAACCTTACTTATTTCGTCTTTCTTCAATGTTAATAATAAACCCTTGCACGGCATCCTTGATTCTCACTCGCACAAGGCCATCCAAAAACTTGTGGTCATGGTGTTGGTCCCACTCAACTTTCAAGCGATCGTGCTCATTTGACTTAATGGAAGCCAAAATAGCATGATGTTTCTGATGGCTGCGTTGAATTCTTTCCAGGTGTTGCTTAGCCCCTTGGCGTTTGGGAGGCTTGGCTCTCTAAAAACAAAAGAAATGATCACTTATAATAAGCCAAAAATAAATCGCACATTTTCAATTAATTGTGACCTTCACCAAAACTCATTCTAAATAAAATTGGGTATAAAAATACTAATACGTTCCTGCTATAAGTGAAAATAGCTTAAGCACCTAAGGAGTAACTTGTTTGATTCTCTGACCCTATACCTAAGATGTCATCAAATCAGTCTCAATATTTCTAAAGTGCCATTTAAATAAATGTTGAGGCTGGGCTCGGTGGCTCAGCCTGTCATCCCAGCACTTTGGGAGGCCGAGGCGAGTGGATTGCCTGAGCACGTGGGTTCGGGACCAGCCCGAGCAACTAGGCGAGACCTCATCTCTGCAATAAATAAAAAATTAGCTGGGCATGGTAGTGCATGCCTGTAGTTCCGGCTCCTTGGAAGGCTGAAGCAGAAGGATTGCTGGAGGCCAGCCGGTTGACACTGGGATGGCTGTAAGTGTGCCCCTGCATTCCAGCCTGGGCAACAGAGTGAGACTTCAACTCAAACAATAAATAAATAAATGTTGATAGGATTATAAAGTTTGAGTTGTGAACAAGACTTTAGAGATTATCTAGTCAAACCCAGAGACATTAAATGATTTGCCCAATTTGCTTCAATTAGGGCATACTTGGAGAAAACATGAACTAGAAGTCATCAGTTTCCTAATCTTGACCTTGCCACCCACTATTCCACACTGTTTATCAAGGGTGGACACCATAGTTACCACCATCAAGATATTTTTTTTTTTTTTTCTTTTGAGTTGGAGTCCCACTCTGTCGCCCAGACTGGAGTGCAGTGACCGCTCCTGGCCACCGCAGCCTTGACCCGCTGGACTCCAGCAATTCTTCTGCCTCAGCCTTCCAAGTAGCTGGAACTACAGGCGTGCGCTACCACACCCGGCTCATTTTTTGATTTATTGTAGAGATGAGGTCTCGCTGCCTAGGCGGGTCTCGAACCCGCGGGCTCTGGCAATCCACTCACCTCAACCTCCCAAAGGCGTGGGATTACAAGCTGAGCCACCGAGCCTGGCTCATCAAGATACTTTTAATGAAAAGGTACTACTATCTAGATACAGAGAACATATACACATATACATATGTGTGTGTGTGTGTATATATATATATATGGGGGTGCCAAAACTATATACACGTTTTAAATATGATGTTCACTTAAAAGATGGCATTAATCTAATGAATGCTAGCATCATCACACAACAGTCAGGACAGTCAAAGAAAATGGTAGAAGCATAGTTGAGCAAACGTCATACTACACATTGCTCCTGTAGTTTAATTCAACTTTGAAAAGTAATACATAGATAACATCTCTTTAAACAAGTGTACACTTTTTGGCACCCAGTTTGTGTAGACAGATGATGATGATAGATAGATGATAGATAGATAGATATGGATTGTGGCAATGAAAAACCCTTTACTAAAGAAGGAAAGAAGAAATGAAATAAGGGTGTGAGGAGAAAAAGAGGAAATGGGAGGTGGAAGGGGTAGTTGGTGACAGAACTTTATTTCTATATCTATGGTACCCAGAAGTTTTAATACAAAAACTGTGTTCCTGACATTTTGGAGTAACTTGAATTACTGTAAATGTATTATTTTTACAGAAATGTGCACTAAAAAGTTAGAAATGCATGTACCATCTTGAATATATATAGATACACTTAATGAAATCACATGGACTTTTTCTTTTGTATATACCTAGCATTGAATATAATGCCTGCCAGAGTTAGGTTTTTGATACAATTGAACAAATGAAGTAATTAATGACACAATATTTCTGGGCGGGATTGATGCAATTTCTGCACCTCCTGGAACCACCATGAAAGTCACATTCTTGGCCGGGCTCAGTGGCTCAGCCTGTAATCCTGCGCTTTGGGAGGCTGAGGTGAGTGGACTGCCTGAGCCTGTGGGTTCGAGACCCGCCTGGGCAACTTGGCGAGACCTCATCTCTACAATAAAATAAAAAAAAATTAGCCGGGCGTGGTAGCGCACGCTTGTAGTTCCAGCTACTTGGAAAGTTGAGGCGGAAGGATCGCCGGAGCCCAGCAGGTCGAGGCTGCGGTGGCCGGAAGCGGCCACTGCAATCCAGTCTGGGTAGCAGAGTGAGACTCCAACTCAAAAATAAATAAATAAATAAATTCTCATTCTTAAGCTCTATATTTTCAGTAACAGTTTTGTCAAGTCATCCTTAAGTGGGTTGCGGGATTCTGGGTGCTGACTCATAGTCACAAAACTCTTAACTCAAGAGGTAGACAGTCAATCTGATCTCCTACATTTAGAACATCACCATCAGGATTACTAGAATACTAAGGTTGGGTGTTTGTAATGAAGTCTCCAGAGGAAAGAAAATCAACAGCTGAAGACAGTTTAATGAAAAGATTTGGGGCTCTGGGTACACATATAGGTACTTAGTTTTAGTTGAATAAGGCAGTCCTGAAATGGGGAGTAGAGAGAGATGATGTTGGATGCTATATCATGTGAAGTAGCTATTCCACAACAGAATTATTTGGCGCCTAGAGCCAGTTAATTAAACTACTATTCTGCAATATTTATGGCATTTTATGAATAAAGATTCTGTGACAATACAGTCAAGTAAGGTCACAGCTGCACCTTAGGAAGGATACACAGCAGGAACTCAGGCCGGTAAACATATGGGCTGAAAACAGGAACCAAGCGCCAAAGTCATCCAGAAACCTGGTCTCCAGCTGTCAGGACAGGAAGGAGGCTCTGAGGCACATTTTGGCTGAAGAGGTGAGAAACAGCATGAGCCGTATCCTGGGGGTCAGGAAGCCTTCTAAGACTTGGAGCACCCTGTGCAGGACTCTTTGGTCTGGGAAGGACCCAGACTCTGAATCAAAGTACGACATGACAATACGACGTAGAGCTCTCTATAAAGGTGCTGGCTACCCAGGCATAGTCTTGGCATTGCTCAAACTCCGTACTGTCCAACAGAAATATAATGCAAAACAGACATTTAATTTTAAATTATCAAGTAGCTACATTTAAAAAAGTAAAAAGAAACAGGAGATATTAATTTTGATAGCATTTTGCTTATCCAAAATATTATTTCAATATGTGACTCCAGGCACATTTCAAGTGCTCATATGCTACGTGTGGCTACTGGCTACCATACTGGACATCACAGTTCTAAACAATGTTACAGGAAAGAGAACAGCTTATTTACTCACTACCCTGTATTTTCAAGGTCATTGAAGGCTTTTGTTACTGCAGTATCTCAAATTATAGCTATTAGGCTTACAAGTTACAGCTGTGAGAAATAAGAATGATGATTTATTTTCAAATTGGAGCCTAGCTTATCTTGGCTTCTCAAGATGGTGCCTAAATGCTTTGTGCTTCTCTTTTGTTGATTCACTTCCTGCTTCTTTGTGCTTCCTTTTGGTGGACTTTTCACTTTGGCAGGCTTCATGTTTAAACTTTCGGTGGGATCCAATCAGAATGGTAATTCTGTAAGCCAATTGGTATAGGACATACACACGAAATGATTCTGTAAGCCAATCAAAATGTCACGTAGGCATCGTACAAGAGAGCTTGTAACTTCTGCAGTATTCCTCCGATGAGGAACCAGGAGAGGGACCAGTGTTTCAGGGATAAAAGTGCTGATTCTTCCTGTTTCAGTGTGCCTGCCCACCAGACATCCGATCTTGCAAGACCGTCATTAAAGTAGCTGATCCTTTCAATGCCCTGTAACTTCAAACATAACATTTTTTATTGGTTTCTCTGGGAATTGTCTAGGATCCAAGCTTCATCTCTCAGTGGCCTTAACTCTTGCAAGAGAAATCTGCTATCTCTAGCACCTATCTTTTCACATTCAGACACCTGAGAAGGATCTTATGTACCACCTCTAACCTCTTCTTTTTCCTCTTAATATTTCTTAATTTCAAAGTATTTAATAGGTCCTTTTCTCTGGTTTGGTGGATTTTGTTTGTTTCTGTTCTTTAGTGGTTCCCAGCACAAATAATAGCATCCAACAGATAGCCCAGCCCCTGGACTCTGTGTTTGGATACAAATCCAAAGTAGATCAGTTTCTGTCCTTCATGAAGTCTGTTTATAATTATTATTTCGAACCCTACACTAAACTGAATCCCCCAGTCCACTGCTTTCTGGCTCCAGATCCTATAGGTTTGAACCTAGTAAAAAGGAGCAAGCCTACAGGTTGAAAAAAATTGGCTGTGTGCACTGTGGAGAATCCATGATCGTTCTTCCATAACGGCCATCAGACACAACATAGACCATCACTATCTGTCATGTTAACATTTAATGCTTTTGTGCATGAGCAAACTGTTTCTGTAATTAGATTACAAGCTGTACACTCCTCATCCAACACTCAAAATGCTCCAAAATCTGAAACGTTCTGAGCGCCGGCATGATGACCCAGGGGGAAAATTCCACACCTGACCTCGCCAGACAGTTACAGTCAAAACACAGGTGCACAACATACGGTTTATTCAGCAACCCTAAGGGGAAAATAAAATTACCTTCAGAGTATGTGTACAAGGGTATATAAAATATATGTGAATTTTGTTTTTCGACTTGTCCCCCCCCCCCGAAATTTCATTATATGCAAATTCGAAAGAAAAAAAGAGAGAGAGAGAGATCTAGGACACTCCTGATCCCAAGCACTTCAGATAAGGCACACTCAGCCACTCCGACCTCCTCGAAGGCAGGGATCGTGCTTCCGTAAAAAGCTAACCTCCCAGGGTCACTGTATTCGCCTTGTGTCTCCCCAGGGACTCAGGCAGTAACTCTGTAGCTACACACAGAGGGCAGTTTTCTGGCCCACAGAAACCGGTTTGTAGAAAGGGGGGAACTAGGTGCCTGGACCAGTGGTGTCTGAGGTTCTCCGCAGGACCCACCAAACCGCTGCAAGTACCTTCCGCTAGCCTGCAACGTACAGCGCCAGCCTCCATTTTCCAGGCACGGAGGGGCACTTCGATCCAGCAATGGTTACTGGTTGAGCTGGCACAGGAAGCGGCTCTCGCTACACTCGCAACCGGATTCCCCTTCCGCAGACGATTTTCCTCGGGGCCGAGGACCAGCCCCAAATCGCACAGCCCAATCACGGCCAGCCCCGCCCTGAGGTCCGCGCCCGGGCCCAGCGCCCTTCCCGCCGCACAGACTCCGCGTGGCAAGGGCACCGACCGCCTTCCGACGTCGCTGAGACGGGAAAAGCCCGAGGGCCCCAGGGGGAGT